CTAATTCCGAAGGTTGTATATATATATATAACTTTAATTTGTTTATTCAGAAATCAATAATATTTATAACAATTTTAGTCCATGAAAATTAAAATGTTTATAATATATCGATGAAGAGGTGCAGCACCAGGCACCTCCATGCTGACAAATATCAGACACACGATGTGTCTATACTTATACTGATAATGCATCGAATCGACTTTTGAATGGGTCGGTTGAAAAGGTGTTAACAACGTTTGATGGTAAAGCATTCCATGCGTTGACTATGCAGTTTGTGAAGAACTTTTCTCTTTCGACACAGTTCTTGACTATCGGCTTAGTAAGTCTTAAGCTATTCCCATGAAGGTTATACTGGGAAAGCATTTGCGCGTAGACTTGAGGCACAACAAATTCGATTTTCTCAACATCATGCGCAATCTTATATTGCTGAATTAAATCATTTCTAACTCGTCTATCTTCTAGTTTGGTTAATCCAAGTATTGTAAGTCTTTCTTCATATGATTTATGTTTGATGCTTTGTTGCACGCTTTTGAATGCTTTCCAGAGCCTTCAGATCTGTCTCCCTTCAGATGTGGCAACCATGATTGGATGGCGAATTCAATGTGTGGTCAACATACGATTTGTAAAGGACTTTTCAAAGTATGAGATTTCTGCTTTTGAAGGATTTCTTAAGCCGACCAAGTACCTGGTTTGCTTTGGCAGCTGCTGCTTCAACTTGATGCTTGACTTTTAAGTCTTCTGAAATAAGAACACCTAGATCTCGCTGGACTGAAGTCGTATACAGTTCTTGTCTTATTCCCATCTGATCAGTCATTGTGTAGACGTAGACTGATTTGTTGGAGCAACCTACATGCATGCATTTGCATTTGTCCAAGTTAAATAGTAATAGCTAGTGCTTCCAATACCAGAAAAGACGTGTTTAAATTGTCTAAAACAAGTATTCTACGTACTTTATACTTAATATCTAGTTGCCAGCTCATTTCCCACTAGATTTGGTAGGAAATGAGCTAGCAACTAGCCAGTGAACAGCTAGCGTTTAAGACGTATAAATTATGTAGAATACTTGTTTTAGACGATTTAAACACGTCTTTTGTCATCTAGCTATCTTTTTCTTACCGGAAGCGTTGTCTGATCGTGACTGGAAGTTTTAAGTATTCCATTTACTTTCGTGTTTTCATTAAATAATGAAGCACCAATTTAAAATATTGTCATTACGTCACTCGCTTTAATGTAGAACGCATGTTTGAATTTTGCACTAACGTAAATATGAAAAGTTTTGGTAATGTAGAAAGTGGGGTGTTTAAGTAACTGTGATCAACAGTTGTGCATTAGGCATGGGATTCAACTAGGTATTCAAGATATTTTGTACAAAAAAATCGTCAATTTCTGCAAAAAAAACTTGAAAGTAATATGCAATAACAGAGAAAGTGACAAGGAAATACTGATGACACAAACATAACCAATAATGATGAAGACTTTTCCAGCGGGTTTCAAGTTGTAATGAGTGAAGAGAATGACTCTATTGAACTGACTGATGATTTGCAGTCGTTAATCAAAAAGGTGCGCACCGTTGTGAAATTTTTATTTCGCCGTTCTCCGACAAAAAATGATCAAAATTCAAAAACGCACATTAGAAAAATTTGATAAAGATATTCCACTAATACTTGGATCCAAAACTAGCTGGGTTAGCTTGCACACAGTACTCGAACGTTTTGTATAATTGAAAAAATGCATTCACGAGTCACTTTTTGCTCTTGAGTCCAAAGTTGAGGTAACTAATAATGAGTCCGATGCAATATTAGCTGTTAACTTATGTCTTGCGCCAGTAAAACTGGCTGTGTAAACATTGTGCCAAAATCATGCAACTCTGTTGTGTGCCATTACAACATTTTCATGATAGATAACCTTTGAAAAATCGATTTAGCTGTAAAGTTATGTTGGTGCAACAATTCAATGAGCAACGTACTCTTTTTCCAGCATACAACATTTTTTGCACAAGGGACATCAACGTTACAAGAATTTGGATCTAGCTCTTTCTTTTGAGCACCATATACCATACACCATACCATACACCATACCATACACCATAGCCATTGTAAATACCATTACTCGACTGAAAGATTGGCTCAATCAGAAAGGGTATAGTCCTCTCCCTTTCACCAGCGTTTTTTCCAATAATGATTCTGTGGACAACGCTGTAAACTTGTCATTGAAAAAAAAGCTTGACTTTGCAATTTTGAAAAATAAGAAATGTAACAACAAGGGAAAATTGAATGTTTCGAATAATTCATCAAAAATTATTTGTATTGAAATAGAAATTTTTAAAGGAGGAAATCGTTGTATATATTTGCAAAATTCCTACCACTACTTGAAAACTGTGAAGAAGCCAACAAAATTAGATGATCTTTTGAAGATGATGTTCTGAACGCCCTATGTTTTTTACGGGCTCATTTTACAAAGCAGAAAAAAGCGAAAAATGAAAAAGTCAGTAGTTTTGATATAAAATAAATAAGCTGATTGAATCAATAAAATTTTTACTATTAACTTGAGATTTTATTTAGATTATGATAAATTTAAAAATAAAGTTTAATACCGGTATTATACTGGTATTACCGGTATTGTAATTATTTAGTACCGATATACCGGTATTGAAAAATGGTATCGGTATTGGAAGCACTAGTAATAGCCACTTTTTGGACTATTCGACAGCGCTATCAATATCTAGCTGGAGATGTGCTTTGTCCTCCTCTGTTTTGATTAAACCTAGTATTTTGCTGTCATCAGCATACATCTTGATGTGGTGAGCTACGTTGTCCGGTAGGTCATTAATATAGAGGATAGAGAGCAACAGTCCTAGCACCGATCCCTGAGGTACTCCACTAGTTTCTTCTTTCCACTCAGATTCAGCTTTGCAAACAACAACCCTTTGTTTTCGGTTAGCCAACCAGTTTGATATCCTCCTGAAGAGTGAGCCGCATAAACCATAAGCTTTAAGTTTATGCAGAAGTCTTTTGTGCCTTACTTTGTCGAAGGCTTTCGCAAAATCAGTGTATATCACGTCTATGGAATAGCCATGATGTGCTGCATCTGTCAGAATATCACAAGTTTCTAGTAGATTAGACACACAGCCCCGCTTAGGTAAAAAACTGTGTTGAGCTTTTGAGAATAGACCATAGACCATAGATTATTGACCATAGACCATATATATTCAATAAAATCAAAATTAAATTTGATTGAAAAAATAGAGATAATATATAATTTACAGTATAATTCATGTGTGTGTATATATATATATATATATATATATATATATATATATATATATATATATATAAATATATATAAATATATATATATATATATATATATAAAATATATATATATATATATATATATATATATATATATATATATATATATATATATATATATATATATATATATATATATATATATTGGTATTATATATTAGTATTAAATTAAGTAAAACCTAATGAACTAAATGTTATTATGTAAAAAATTGAAAACATTTGCAAACACAATTTTTGAAAACTTCAAATTATGTTGTGAACATAGCTTTATAATTCTGATAGTTAGGTGACTAATTTTTCTGAATTATACGAAAGGCTTTTTTATGAAATCGATTTATGAGCTTGTTGTCATTTATTAAAAAAATATTCTTATAAAAAAAAAAGTTTAATTAGAAATAAAGTGGAGATAAAGAGTAGTTTAAATGTTTAAGTTTTTTTATCAGATAAAAAAGTTATTTATAATTCTCATGCTGTATTAAGTCAGTGTTGTATTTAGTTACTCTACTATTATAAACAGATTATACTATTATATACATATCCTACTCTGCAGATATTATAAACAGACCCCAAGGAAAGAGGGTCCAATGGGTGAAATTCACTATTGTAAAATTTTTATTAAACACTTATTAAACACTTATTATATTTTATTAAACACTTATTAAAACTTTTTCTTGAGAATAAACTTATAAGAATAGTTATACAAAAAATGATATACTTATTTTATGTAAGAATAAGTATATATTAATTTATAATAAAAACTATAATAAATAGAAAAAACTTTTTTTAAAAGGGGCATAAGTGCCTCAGTCATCAATATATGAGGAGCTCGAGAGTTGAAAGATAAAAAAAAAAACATATTGAGATTTTAATTACAAAAAAGTAAAAATTTTGTTTTCATTGATGAGGCATAAAACAATATTACTTAGTGATGTGCAAAGTAATTAATTTGCTTTGTTTATATTAAGAAAGAATTATAGTTATAAGTAGGGATGTACCAGATTGGAAATTTCGAATTCTGGCCGGAACCGGATTTGTTGGAACTGTTAACAAAAATCCGCCCAGAACGAGAATTATATTTATGTAATTTTTTACCTTGAAGATTGAAAGTGAAAGCCTGTATCTTAGCAGCATGACTACATAATATATAGTTATAGTTAAATTGAAATATTTACTGTATTAAACATCCTATACTTTTTAATTATTTAAAATTTAAGTAACATTTAAAATGAGACTATTCTCAGAAGCAGGGAACATTTTTGATGAAAAAAGAGCTAGTTTGTTGCTTAAAACTGGATAGCAATTCTTTTTGCACCACAATATTCCTAAACTTTTAGAAATCCTTGCATAATTGATTACATAATTGCAAATAAAAATACATTGTGTTTGTTAAGAATTTTGTATTTCTTACCTAGGTTAACCTATAGTTCTTCATTGCATAATAAAACAATGATTTTTTATTCAACTTACAATCTGTCATATCTTAAAAAAAGGTAAAAAATAAATTCCAGCATTCCAGCCTGAAACATTGTAATTCCGGTAGGAACTAGAATAACCTAAAAGTCACAAATTCCTGCTGGAACGAAACTTCGGTCTGATACAAATTATTGGAATAAATTACACAGTCAACCACAATAACCGCCAGGTTTGAGGTTTCCCCACATCCAATTTTTTTTTCTTATTAAAAAGTAACATAGTATATAAATTAGGTAAAGGTATTAAGAACCTCCATAGGAATGGCTAGAATAAAATTTTTACAAATCTAAACTTTAGATAAAAAGGGGAGGGGCGGTACATAGTTAACTTTATCGAAGTTCATATATTTCACATAATTTTATGAAGAAGCCTAATTTTTACTGTGTTCTTGTGTACTCCCATATTATAAAAGCATTAAAAAGTGTTCGGACAAAAAAAATGTAGGTATAAAATTAATAACAACAAAATGCAGTTAACGCGTTTAAGGTAAAAAATATCTAGACTAAGCTTTAAAATACACAAACAACATTACATTTTATATTTGATTAAAATCTTTTATGCTATTAAAATACTTTAGAAACAACAATTTTGACATAGTTGTGGGTCAACAATATATTAATTTGAATAGAAAACTTGTTAACTATTTATTAAATGTTGAAAATTCTACAACACTTGACTTTAATTGTTTAGCATAGTCTGGGTGGCTTTGTCGTCTCTTATACTTAATCCATGTCTTTTTAAACTCATGATGAACAGATTCACCTGCTTGTTCAGAGTAAATTCCAAGTCCATTATCAGAATTGGTACTTTTTAGAAATGGTACAATATGGTTAACTGCAATATATATATATATATATTTTTTTAATTATCTTCGCTTCCAACATGGCTGCAAGCAACCACTAGTTAGTGTTGGAAGTTACTGGAAGAGAAAAGATGAAGATTGTAGAGCAAGATAACGATTGACAAACGACTTAAAAGATTGCAAATTATATGAATCAGGAAAGCAAGATGAAGGAAGCAAATTCCAAAGAACTGATGTTCGAGGAAAAAAACTAGACGAATAAGAGTTTTTGGAGCACTTAGGAAAAGTAACAGAAAAAGGATGAGACTTAATTGAATGATGAGTAACACGAGAATGAATTTTAGTAGATGGCACAAGAGACGCTAGCTCCTTTGAGCAGTGCCCATTATAGTATTTGTAGAAAAGAGAAAGAGAAGCAACATTATGACGATGTGACATAGGTTGAAGGTTGGCTGCAAGAGCAGGTCCAACTATGTTTACAATGCGTTTTTGCACCTTGTCTAAAAGAGAAAGGGCATCATTAGAAGATCCGCCCCAGATATGGCAACAGTATTACATACAAGGATATGGCAACAGTATTCCATACAATATGAACTTTTCATGGTATATTCAAAGAAATATTATAAAAGTAAGTATTAATATATTCTATTAAATTAGCATAAGACATCTTGAATTCGAAAACTACAGATTCAATATCCCCAATAATTTTTTCTCCAAATGTAGCTTGCTTCATTGCTTGAAACTTTCTCAAGTATTCAATTACTGGCAATAATTCATACTTTTCTTGATCAGCAATATCACGAGCAAGAACATCTAACTTATCTAAAAGTCTGTTGGTATTGTTGCCATCAAATCCAATGCCATGGTAACCTCTGAAAAATATGTAATTTGAGTTTAACCACTTTTCAAAGCCAGGCCATAGTTTTAATAATAGTTTTCTAAAAGTTGTTACTATTCCAATTAATGTATACAACTCAGATACTGGAACTAAATTTTCTATAATTGTGTCTGGATCCTCTTCAAGATATAATAGTCTTGGATTAATAACATTTTAATAATCAGCCATCTTTGATTTTGGTTTTCCAGCTTCTATGTATTTAGTGTAATGATAATCAAGGGAACGAAGAGTTCGTTTTTCTCCACCATCCAAAAGACTCTCTCCTTCACACCACAAACAACTATATTTTCCAGCATGGCTTGTAATGCCAAACATTGAGTTTGCACACTTTAAATCAAATGCAATAGAATACTTAATATTTTGAAGATTAAGAGTATCAACTAATTTTTTAAGATTTCCATTGTGTTCAGACACTCCTTCTACAATAGCAACAATAAAACAAGGCTTAACTCCAGCATCATCAAGGTCAGGCTGGTTGCTAGTTTTATCATGCGGAATAAAAAGATTCATAGTGACCTTTAAAAAACCTTGACCAGAATCCACAGCAACTCTTACAATTGTAGAAAGAGGGTCGATATTCCTTTCAGTGATTATATTATGAATAAATTCATCAATATCCTTTATATAAACCATTGATTTATTTACTATATCGCCAGCTTCAAAAAATTCTTCTTCTTTACATGAAAAATAGTCCTTCATTTCTGCTTTTAAAGCCTCTAATTTTTCAATAATATTTCCTTCTATGCTATTTTGAAAGCCAAGACATTTTCTAAATATGGAACACATTTCTCTGGTTTTACACCGAGATAGTTCTAAACATTTTATAAGCTCAATAATTGTTCCAAAAGACACTTTTCTTCAATAGCTTTAGTTATTTTATGAAGCTTTGCTGACTTTTTACCAAAGGTTCTAAAACAAACAGCGCATAAATTGTTGACCGCCATTTTGTAAAACTCAAGTCGTTGTGAACCAAAGTAAAAAAATGCCGGTATTTGACTAGTAAATTAGAGCAATTTTATTGAAAATGGCGGATATTTTTAACTAAAAACTATACTTTTTATTTTTTGATTTTCATACATTTTTCCATTCCCCTAGAGGTTTTTACTAACTAAATATTTATTTTCATATATACAACTAAGTATATATAAAAAAAATCTGATGTGGGGAGACTTCAAACCTGGCGGTCACTGTGGTTCATTGTGATTAGCACATGAACCACATTAGCACATTGTAATAAATAAAATAAAAAAATCTAAGATTTTTTAGTTTTCAGCCGCAGTCTTGCTAGTTGGAAGATTTTGATTTAACAGCTTTTGGACACGTTCAGTTCAGATTGATGACTTAAACTAATTGCAAAACAAGCGCTGGAAACTACAACTGCTTTAAAGCTGTTGCTTTAGTTTCAGCCAAAACATCAACCTATCAACATCAATCTGATAAGCAGATGACTCATCTTGGCAATGAAACAGAACTTTTTTCAAAGTAAATGATGATAGAATAATAGCAATGAACCTGGATATGCAGTTTTTTTCCATAAGTTTTTCAAGCATAAGCTTGAAGTGATTATCTTTAACTTTGAACTTTGTTAATCCATACAACAAATTCAATATAAAATTGGGATTATAAAAACTATTTTGTTAAGATTCTCATTCATCTAGTTAAAAGTTCAACAACTGGTAAAAATTAAAGCTTGAAATAAAAGACAACTTTATGGAAGATGTTTTGCATCTTAATAGCCTTAATTTTTCACTTCTGGAAACACTTTAAGCTTTCTCAACCAAATATACTCAAAGGGTCTACAGCCTATTTTCAAATCATTCTAATTCTAATTTTTTAACGCAATGCCAGTACCTGTCTCAGAAGATAAACAACTTTTAAGCAAACTAAAATTGATTTAAAAAAAAAATTGTAGGGCCACTATAAAATAAAAGATTTGAAAACTTCTATTGGACATACATGTTGAAAATGAATTAGATACAACATTTTTGAAAGATGACTAAATAATAATAGCAATATTTGGTAGTAAAAAAGCCACACAAAAAAGTGTTTTCAATATTAATTTCAAAAAACGTTTTATCTAATTCAGAATAGATCCAGATTTTCCTAAAAATATAGATATAAGGTAACAGTATTTAAAATAAAAAGAAGTCATTAAAATGTATAATTATACATACTTTAATTTTAAAAATATGCAAGCTTAAAGTGACGCCTAATTGCTACTATGCTTTAGATGTCATTAAAGCTCTTATCTGCCTTGATCATGTGCATTTTTTTGCTAACTAATCACTGATATAGATTATTTACAAACTTCTTTCTAAAAAATTGTATTAAAATACATTACAAAATTTGAAATTTGTTTTATTAAGGCGCTAAAGTATTTCTAACCTTCAAAATTTCTAGTGTTGCAACACTAGACATTTTGAAGGTTAAAAATACTTTTGCGTTTATATCTATATTTATAATCAGGCCCGACGTATATTACGACAGGCCTGATAATAAATATAGATATATACAGATTTCTCAAAGACATTTGACATGGTTCCTTTTCAAAAACTGCTTTATAAACTTAACACATAGTCTATGTATTAACTATACTCAAATATTTTTTAAGAAAACTGTATTTATCTATATTTATAATACCTGCAGAGTGGACTCAGTCTATTGCTTCTGTTAGAATATTATAAGATTTAAGTAAATTTTTCTTATATCTATCCTTTGAAACAAACCCTGTTGCATTTAAGTAATAAAATTTTATTACTGAAATGCAACAGGGTTTGTTTCAAAGGATAGATATAAGAAAAATTTACTTAAGTCTTATAATATTCTTACAGAAGCAGTAAACTGAGCCCACTCTGCAGGAGTTTTTGCGTGTATAGGTACAATTGCATTTTTGCGTGTATAGGTACAAATGATTGGAGCGTAATACCCAATTAAATAATTATTTCTCTTAAAACCAATGGTTTTAAAACCATTGGTTTTAAAAGAAATAATTATTTAATTGGGTATTACGCTCCAATCATTTGTACCTATACACGTAAAAGTGGATTGTTTTAAAAGAAGTATTACCGAAGTGTTCAAAATATAACATTAAAATTCATGCAAATTCTCAGTACATAACATCTTTTTTCTGCATTTAGAACATAGAATATTACACCCATACACATTTTTTTGATTAGTATATCGCTATTATATTATTATGAAATACACTAAACATACAATTCGTATTACTGTTGTATTTTTAAAATATTTTAGCAAAAAATAACATCTTTTTTCTCTATTTGGAAGTAGAACATTAAATCCACACACAGTTCTCTGATTACCTTATCGCTATTTGATTAATATGACACAAACTGAACATAACAAAAAAACATAAATCTTATAACTGTTGTATTTTAGCGAAATTATCAAAATTCATGTTACCTTTAATAATTTTTGTAATTTTATTATTAGTTCGAAAGTATTAATACGTTTTCCAATGCGGTTTTTTGTTAATTCAGACGCTTTAGGAAACTTCTAATGGCTATAACTTAAAAATCCAGCTTCGAATTTAAATAATTTTAAATTTTTTTCCAATCAGCAAATTAAGGTTTCGGGTTCTCGCTCGGAATCTTTTTTAATAGTGACAAATTTTACTTTAATATATTATAACTATCAAAAATTATTATAAGTAAATAATTATAAATGGTATAAATGATATAAAGTATATAAATTTTAAGTATAAATTTTAAACAATTCTGGTTTAGATTTTATAAAAAACGCTAAACCTGGATTTGCTCACTAGAAAAAAGTTTCAATCATTTAATTAATAATGTAATAGTGCTACTGTGTAACTGAACCTACTGGTTCACTACTACAATTTTAAGAAAACTTGGTCTTTTATTCAATCAGAGAAATATACCTTGTAATATAATTTCTTGTTGCAAGAAGTTGTTCAATATTCTATGTGGGACTAAAACTCATGTAAGAATGAATCTTTGCACACTGTGCAACGTAGATGCTTGAAATCTTTGATTATTCCCTACCAACAGCGCCTTTTACAAATTTTTTCAAGCATTCAAAGCTTCTTTGAGAGAGCAATGTTAAACAGACCAAAACACTTTTAAACATTGCAAATTACAGAACAAAATTCATCTGATAAGTTTTTTGGTTTCATTAAACAAAAGTTTTTCTATATTTTTTGGTTTTGAATCTCATCAAATATTTTTTTGAAAAGAAAAAAAGCTTATTAATCTCTACAATACGCAGGCAATTAAGTTAATAAATTATTACTGCAGTACTTACTATAAAAGACTCAATCAAAGGATTAGTATGCCCAAAGGCTACAGAACCGCAAACTTGACAACAAATATTTGTAAAAAATTATAATGGTTCCTTGTTAGAATTCATTTATACTTATAATCTAGTTGAAAAAAATGCTTTATATTGGGAAGGTATCAAATAATAATGTTGAATGCAGCATTCAACATTATTATTTGCAACTGAACATTTAAGCAAAATAACAGCATGCTTTCGGAATGCTGTTATTTTGCTTAAATGTTCAGTTGCGGTTTAATTCAACAGGAAGACCCAAACGGTATAAGTAATTGCGCCACACCTCAAATTTTGGCAACCCTTCTTCTTTTTCAATCGCCAGGGACTTTAATATCTTTATTATTATTATTATCTAGTCATTGAGATGCTCCGAAAACCATTGTTTTATAAAAGAACACCGCGGAGGAGCGTTTATCTAGAAAGTTCTTCTTACCTACCAATGACGGTTATTGGACTAGAACCACACCAAATCTCATAATTCTGAGTTACAATTCTAATCATTGTGCCACAACTGCTGGTTATTAAAAACCACCTTAATTGAAAGCAACTTAAAATGAGATGTCGTCTCAACTCATCTTATTTTTTTCATCAAAAAAATGTTTTAAAAAATATTATGGGTCCCTTAATTTATCGATCATTTTTCTGACATAATAATTAGATTACCATAGGCGGTTTTCTAGGGTCAAGTCTTTGTTAAATTTTTACCAAACAAGTAACAGTTATACAGCTACATCAGGGATTACTAAACAACAAAACTATTATTTTATGAGGTTGAGAGGATTAAATGAAAAAAAATAATAATAATTGAGAGGATTAAATGGGAAAAAAAAGTTTAAAAATAAAAGAAAGTATAAAATAATAAATAAGCAAATGTTTTATAAAATAATAAAGCTAAATAAATCGGGTTAAACAAATAGTGATTTAGTTTCATAAAAGAGATAAAAGAGCTTTAAGAGCTAGTTTATTTTTTTTATAGAAAACACTGCCAAACTTATGTCTTAAAAATACTGTCAAACTTATGTCTTAAAAATACTGTCAAACTTATGTCTTAAAAACACTGTCAAACTTATGTCTTAAAAATACTGTCAAACTTATGTCTTAAAAATACTGTCAAACTTATGTCTTAAAAATACTGTCAAACTTATGTCTTAAAAATACTGTTAAACTTATGTCTTAAAAATACTGTTAAACTTATGTCTTAAAAACACTGTCAAACTTATGTCTTAAAAGTACTGTCAAACTTATGTCTTAAAAATACTGTTAAACTTATGTCTTAAAAATACTGTTAAACTTATGTCTTAAAAACACTGTCAAACTTATGTCTTAAAAGTACTGTCAAACTTATGTCTTAAAAATACTGTTAAACTTATGTCTTAAAAATACTGTTAAACTTATGTCTTAAAAATACTGTTAAACTTATGTCTTAAAAACACTGTCAAACTTATGTCTTAAAAGTACTGTCAAACTTATGTCTTAAAAATACTGTTAAACTTATGTCTTAAAAATACTGTTAAACTTTTGTCTTAAAAACACTGTCAAACTTATGTCTTAAAAGTACTGTCAAACTTATGTCTTAAAAATACTGTTAAACTTATGTCTTAAAAATACTGTTAAACTTATGTCTTAAAAATACTGTTAAACTTATGTCTTAAAAACACTGTCAAACTTATGTCTTAAAAGTACTGTCAAACTTATGTCTTAAAAATACTGTTAAACTTATGTCTTAAAAATACTGTTAAACTTTTGTCTTAAAAACACTGTCAAACTTATGTCTTAAAAGTACTGTCAAACTTATGTCTTAAAACTACTGTCAAACTTATGTCTTAAAAACACTGTCAAACTTATGTCTTAAAAATACTGTCAAACTTATATCTTAAAAACACTGTCAAACTTATGTCTTAAAACATGGCCTACTTAAATTACACGGCCTGATTTATTGCATTTTCCGTAAAAAATTAAGAGGCCAGTTTTTTTTACGGCTTAAGTATAAAAACTTAAATTTTGTTATGGTTAAGAGTCTTGTTTGCACTATAATTGTTTTTTTTTTTTTTTTTTATTTTATTAAAATGGTTTAATATTAGTTAGATTTTCTTTGATTACTTACATTATTTTGTGCTAGATTTTCTGTTAACTGATTGCCTGCTTCAGTTTATTCCAATAACTAAGAATACTGAAATAGGCTTTCAGATAGCTATATCAACACATATTAACATGCTACTAAAAATAATCTTACATATTGCTAAAACTACCCACAAATCTCCATTGGAAATAATTTTAAAGGTTTGTAATTTTGTATTTATTATAATTGCAATTATTAAGTAGAAAACATAAACTTTTCTTTAAATTATTTACACTGCAAAACAAGGTTTTGCATTGTAAATACTTTATTTATGCTGCATGTCTCAAACATACAGCAATTAAAATGTAACAAATCAGGCTGTTTATTTACAGTAGCCAAGAAATATCAGGCATACCAACTGTTTTGGAGTCAATAGCTGTTAATAAAATTCTAATTTTTTTCATTGCCAAATAAATGGTTATCATTCTTCTTTATTTAAATGGTTTCGCAGTGGTAAAAAATACAAATTGAAAAACTATAATATATAAGAAAAATCATTGACAAAAATTTGGTATTAAGAGATTATTTGCTTCTTGTGGGTAAGGTGTACTTCCAAAAAGCAGCCCAAAGTGGTAAACAATTTGATGAAGATTGAGAAAACAATCTTTATAAAGAATTTGTTTTTGTTTTTATGATTGTAGGGCTTCCAAAATTTATTCTTATGTTTTGAAATCATAACCTAAAGTTTACATAACAGGTTTATGTTTGAAAAAAGAAATTGATGATTACCTCAATGCACCAATCTGAATTTAAGATAAGATTTGTTACCGATAACCATTCTACAAGTGTTAATGCATTTTTATAGTTTCATAAAGCATATACTGGAGATGGACAATTAATAATTTATCATTTAGTTTAGAAAAGAAGTGTTTAAAATATATTTGTTATTTGATAAACTCGGTTTTTGTTTTTTCTTTTTGTTGAAGTTACTGCTAATTACATCGCAGGGAATATATTTCTTAAAGTTTATTAAAAGATCACTTATCAAACAAGCAAGAAAAAGCAAGAAAAATTAATTACCAAATTACATATTTTGGTAACAACAAACAAGTTGTCAACATCGACAATATTTGACAAAACAACTGCAGCTACAACTGCTAATTTAGAGTTATTTTTCTGAAAGAAATAACGCAGCACAATTATCATTGTTTTATAAGTTATTTATCATACTTAATTCAAAGCAGAAACTTAATTCATCTAATCAAACTCAGCAATGCTGCTTTGAAAGGTGATAACAAACCCACACTTTATAGAGAAATTGCAAATTGTACTGAAATTTGATCAAAATAAAATTTGATAAATACCTGACATTAACCAAACAAACTTCTTGTGCTCTAATTACAACACTACACGCAATTGTATTTCTTATGCATGATTTCCTTGAGGAAGGCTTTACATTTGTTTATAGTTAATTACCAGAATTTTGATAATCCTTAAAAAATATTATGCAAGATATTGCTTAGTTGTCTACATAAATACAACTGTCAGCTTTCTGAAGATAGCACAAATATATATACTGAAGCAAGTAATAATGGTAAAAATTAACAAAAAGATTTTGATGTTAAACTTATGATCAATAAACATTACTTTATAAAGAGAAAAACCTATATATTCAATTCAACCTCTGTCTAATTTTATTTGTCATCTTTTTAGTATTTTATGTTATTTCTCTTATTCTAATAAAACATTGCAGTCATTCTTTTTTAATTAAAAATTTGCGAAACAAATTTTAAAGATTTGATCTAGCAGTTTAAATTTTACAAATAAAAACCACCAAAAATAGGAATCAAATATAGATCTCGTATTGTATTGCAAATTAATATAAAAAATATAATTATATTTTTTATAGTAATTTGCAAAAAAAAAAAAAAATACATATTCATTTAAAAAAGATCAAGTAAAAGAATTCCAAAAAAGACAAAATAAACATTTCTAGCAAAAATGTATTTCTTCTTATTTCAATTATAAAAAATACAAAACTACAAACCTTTTTTTTTCTCAATGGAGAGTTTTAGGCAATCTAAGCAACATGAGAGATTATTTTTAGTAACATGTTGGTATATGTTGATATAGTTATCTGGAAGCC